TGTAAGAAGTAAGTTATTTTCGTAAAACGAATCTTTCTGTTAAGGCTAAAATATTATGAAGCAGTCTTCAGATGTTATAATTTATGCGTCTACCCTCGTCCAAATTCTTTAGACTTTGTTTATATGAACGACGCGATAACGCCTAGAACAAGCGACCCTTTTAATAACCACACGCACGGTTCCTGATGGCAAGATCTCTTTTATACAGACAGTCTTTCGTAAGTCGTCGTTAGTGGAAAATATAAAAATCAGTTAAATAGTATTATTCACCTGTTTTGTGAAAGTGTTAGTTTTGTTGCTATCAATATACCTTAAAGGTGAGTTATTTCACTGGGTGATCAATTTTACTTGGTTAATGAATTGTAATTCATTTACATTAATGATTATGAGCTTTTATGATTATATTTCAATATGTGTGTTGAGCACTATGCGAGTTGACCCTTAGTGCTTTGGTGTTCGGGTATGATGTGACTCCTGATTGACTCCGCTAGTTGTTTATAGAGTGGGTACTATGCGAGTTGACCCTTAGTACCTTAGTGAAAGCATGTCGTTACACTGTTTACCATGGTAGCTACTCTAGACTAGCATAATTTATTTTCCGAGGAGGTATTTCGCGAGTTGACCCTTAATACCTGTGATCCGGAAAAGATTGTAATATAAATCCTAAACTATTATGTGTTTATTCACTTCGTTACATTGATTTATTGATGGTTGAATTGGTCGCTCATATATTTCTTTTGTTTATTTTACAGATGTGTCATCTCGGACTTATCAGGCCATTCATACATATTTTAATAAGTGTTTTCATTTTATACAAGTTAATACATATCATTTTATTATCATAGGTACGTTTAATTCAGATTTAGTTTTGTTCAATATAAAATAAATCATATAAATTAGTGTTATCATTTGAATATTCTTCGTAAATAATTTAAATACCCCCTACAATTGTGCATTTAATATAGATCAATATGGCCCTTTACAGTATGTAATTTAAATGAATATTTTCGAAGATATTATAAACTTAAAATGCAGGGACATGGCGGTTGCGGCGGTACCGGCCGGTTTGTATTGTCTAATGACAAAAAAAGCTGTGATTGTTGTATATAAAGACATTCTATAGTATATTTACCATCAACATTGCACTCGTGCGAAGCATAAGTACAAATACCATTAAACCAATTCCTTAACCCCTATCCCGGTATGTTTGAAGAAGTTTTACTTCAGTAGCGTGTTGTATAATTACACGTTGTATTTTTGTTTATAGTGTTCCATAACTACAATTTCCTTCTTTTTCATTTTCATGCAATCTGAAAACACGAAATTTTATACATTTCTTTTTACAAGTACCTACACAAGACCGTTTTAGCCCTTTCGATACTAAGCCTTAAAACACCTTTAGCTGTCTTAAATTACAAAGGCATGCAATATGATCTCATGGAAGTACACATTTTTTTTACAAATATGATTTTAATTTTCATCACGACCGGAAAGCGTGCATCGGTCAAGAAGCTTCTTACCTTTCTTATCGAGGGTAAGTTATTAATCCTCATAAAGGCATGCGGTATAAAATCGAAGAATCCTAGCTATCATCCGTTTTCGGTCCATAAGTATGGTATAACTACACATGATCCCTGTACTTTAAATGTGGAATAATTGATGTTTTACATTAAATAAATTTTGCTAGATTATCTAATAAATCATTCCGGAAACTTTGGTTCATGTCTCGTACATTGATATCACCGAAAAAATTCACTCTCATTGTATTACATCGCTAATGCAATCTTATGACTAATACTATCTATTCGACGTTATGATAGATATACTTGAACAGCGTTTCAGTTCTTGATAAGTATGTCGGCAGTGGTAAATTCGGCCGGTCATTACGACAGGTAGAAGAATTCATTAACCATAAGTCAAAGCGTAATCTCGACCGCTACGCTAAAATCTACCGAAAACTAAGTTTCTACACATTGCTTCAAGTATTTAGTCATGGAAAAGGAACATTAAACTACAATAAAACAAAGATTTAACAAAGAAAGTAGCAGTTTCTTNTTTAGTTTTACTTTTATTTCTTTTCATACAGTACCTACTGATCTGTCAGTATCTATTCTGTTGTAATAAAACAAAACTAAAATAAAATTTATTTACTATAATTTACTAACAAATTATAAAGTATTCAGTTGTAGGTCAACTGCAAAGATTTTACATATTAAAGGAAAAAGAGTTTCTGCTTAAAAAATAAGAAACAGTTGGAGATTAAGTTGAAAATATAGCAAATATAATTTATTCTATAGACTACGCTTACCTAATAATTAGAAAAAATAACAGTAGTCATTTTAAATTACAGAATCTCTGCTTTAAGAATCTTTTTAAGTGGAATTAGGTACATGTATCCATTTAGTAATCAATTCAAACATTTTTACAAGCACTTTTCTTGCAATTAACAAAGTGGTTTGTTAAAAAATAATTAAGAATAACAAGTTCATTAAATTTCTGAAATAGACATACTATCAAACAGTTGTCTCCAAAAAACCAAACCATCTCTGTAGCGTATTACGTAAATAGCTAGTTAAAAATAAAGAAAAACGTCACAGTCAAATTCTACCTAACAGAAAATTACTTACGTAATTCAATTTACATCTATTAAGATAACGACAAAAATCTTTGTTTTGTATGCAAGTCCCATTTATGATGGCAATTACTACCACCGTAGATATACTGGAAAAATACAATGAATAAATCTTTAATGATGAATAAAGGAGAAGTAACTTCCACAATAATTAAACGTACCCCATCATCATTAGTTATCGATTATCATATACATCTATTATTTAATATTCGTGTCATTTTCAAAGTAAAAATTAATATTCCGCAACGATTACGAAGCAAGTTCAAATTTAAAATATGCATACATGCAAGTAACTGCAAATCGCACGCCTCATTATAGTTTATAGTCAATGTCGAGAGAATTCAAGGCAATCTTCAACTTATCGGACTTTGTATATACCTATGTGAATACTCACACACTTAGAAGCATTAAGTAGTGGGTACCTATAATACCAACCGATACCTATAACCGAGAATGCACTAACGCCACGTGTTTGTATAAAGGATCGGAGTCAAACACTCAAACAAACATAACATACAAGTGTATTGGCGAAGGTAGATCAGTGTGTAGTAAATAGTAGCCCACTTTGTCAAGTATATAAATGCAAGATAAAAGTGTAAGTGGTGTGTTGAAACCTACATAATTGTTAGTATCTGCGGTCTATCCGATTGAATGGGAAATTAATAGCGATCTCATCATGCCGAAAATAGAAAGTAGTGAAATTTATCTGGCGAAAGCGAAATACGATGCGTACAGTAACAGAAAATATCCCTTTCTTGATAATAGTAATGCTAAGGTTGCTGTGATCGATATGGAGTCAGAAATTAAATCAAGAAACACCGGTACAAACATCCATGAAATGGTCCAGAAAAGCCGACAGTATTTTAATACCGGCGCAACTAAACACGTTCAATTCAGAAAACAACAGTTGCAAGCCTTAAACCGCATGCTGGACGAAAATTCGAAAGACTTGGAAATCGCTCTCGCTAAAGATTTAAATAAAAGTCCAATGGAATCTCAGATTACAGAAATCGAATTTCTAAAAAACGACATTCGAAGCATAATAAGTCATGTCTCAGAATGGTCCAAACCTATATTTGTTCCCAAACCACTTATAAACGCATTCGATAAGCTCTTTATATACCGCGAGCCTTACGGTCTCGTTCTTGTAATGGGAGCGTGGAACTATCCTATACAATTGACACTAGCACCTCTTGTGGGAGCCATTGCAGCAGGAAACTGCGCCATTATAAAACCATCTGAACATTCGCCGTCATGTGCACAAATTATAGCAAGATTAATTCCAAAATACCTGGACAACAACGCCTTCAAAGTATTCCTGGGAGGTGTCCCTGAAACTACAGATTTATTGAAAGAACGTTTCGATTATATATTTTACACGGGTTCAACCACTATAGGAAGGATTGTTCAAGAGGCAGCTGCAAAGCATCTTACACCGGTTACCTTGGAATTGGGTGGCAAGAGTCCCGCTTTTGTAGATTCAACAGCTGACATTAACATAGCAGTCAAACGAATACTGTGGGGTAAACTTATTAACGCAGGACAAACGTGCGTGGCCCCTGATTACATACTATGCTCTAAAGAAACGGAGAAACGTCTCATACAATCTGCAGAAGAAGTAGTACGCACTTGGTACGGCGAAGACGCGAAAAAATCTCCAGACTATGGACGAATTATTTCAAATAGGCACTTTGAGAGACTGCAAACTTTCCTAAACGACAAAACTAAAATCGCCCTAGGAGGAAAATTCGATGAGAACGAAAAATTCATTGAGCCAACAGTTTTGGTCAACGTTCATCCAAATGATCCAATAATGCAAGAAGAAATATTCGGGCCAATCCTACCCATATTAACAGTAAATGACGTATCCGAAGCAGTTAATTTTATAAATTCACGTGAACGTCCCCTTGCCCTTTATATATTCACAAAAAACAAGAAAGTAAAAGATTCGATACTGAAAGAAACCTCGAGCGGTGGAGTTGCGATAAACGACACTGTTATGCATACCATAGTTGACACGTTACCATTCGGTGGCATAGGATATAGCGGGATGGGTGCCTATCACGGAAAAGCCAGCTTCGATACATTCACGCACAACAAGAGCGTACTTGAAAAGGACTTCAATATTATTTTCGAAAAAATGGCAGAACCCAAATACCCTCCCTATAATAAAACTAAACAAAAGTATATAATGTTTTTGACCACTCACAGAGGTCATCTCTCATTTAGTTTCCTTTGGTACGTCATTTGTTTTATTTTGGGTATAGGAGCTGCTGTATTATTTATTCGTTTTTTCGCATAAAATTATTTACAAGGTAAATTGTTATCACTTTTTTTAATATAAAACACAACACAGTACTATAAAGATCTACATAAAGACATATGTAAATAATATAAGTACACGTCACAGCCATTACGAATAATTGTATTAACCGCCTAAGCGGAATTAAAGGCAATATTGGTTACAATACCATCTAACTAAGCATTGGGCACATACTTAGTTACATATTACATTTTGCGTTAAAGTAGCTAACGTTTAGTTGTTGTTAGAGGAAATTTATGAGTACGCTATTAAAAACCACTTTTGAAATTAACACTGATTTCAGGAACGCTTACATAAAAGTAATAGTTAATTCAAATTGCCTTCGGCATTTTCTTCTCTATGCATGTATTAATTTTATATGAATAAAGATATAACAGGAAAAAATATGTGATTGTTTACACCTTTAAGAAAATTTTACATAGAATAATTTTAATTTATTTGTAGTTTTTCACTAGTACTTTTTTAGCATTGACAATTTGTCGTACAATTTATTTTATTTTATATATAATTCAGACAACAAACAATTTTAAAAACATATTAAAAGTCCTTTAATTCATTCCTCATAGAATTACTAATATATGATAATAAAGACAAAATCAAAATTAATTTCCTTTTATTTAACACCGATCATTTAATAAAACTAAACATTTATGTGATTGCACAAAAAAATACTTAAAAGAAAAAATGAGTATACTTTTTACCTACACATACATAGCAAGCATAAATAGAATTGCTAATTATATCTTCTTAGATTAATTCGCATAGAAATTATTTAAAAACTTTAGGAATGAATCTATTATGTTATAGCGGATTCTTGCACACCGTACAAGTATCTGTGATGCATAATAATACCTAAGTAATTACTGTAGTATACAGGGTGTCTCACGGTGACCACCCATTAGAATATTTCTGAAACTACTTCGATTTGAATTTTAAAAAATTTGGATAATAGCGTTATTGGGTATGTTCTCCTCAATTAAAAAAACGATATCAATGTGGCACTTGACATCAACTTCGTTATTTTAAATGGAGCACCCTGTGTTTTAGACCAGTTTTGAATTTAACTTTTGATCCAAAGTTACCGTTTTCAATATATTGATTTTATTTAAAAAAAAGTAGCATAAAGCAGTAGGTAGCAAAAAAGCATACCTACTTTACAGTAAGAAAGCTGAAGTAACATTATTCTCAGGAGAGACAGCTATCCTCAAACTTCTCGTCCATACTTTCAAAGTAGGTTAACTTCAAACAGCCGTAAGTCCATTTTTTCAAATGGAACACCTTGTATGAATTTTCATAATCTTATAACCTTATTCAAAATTTAATTCTCTTTAGAATCGTACTATGATTCCATATATCCATCTCTTCTAATTATCGAATCACTTACTTTTATTTGTGAATGAAACTAAAATATTTAATATTTTACGAAGATAGATGTGAAATTCTTAGTAGAACTTCAAAACAAATATTACAAGTTAATTATTGTCACTCGAACACCCATAAGGAAAGTTTAGTAATTAAATATTTTGATTCTCAGTGTCAATTATTGAGTAGTAAGTATTTTTATTAAGAATGGAAAATGAAAATGCGTATCCAAATTGAGAACATTAAGAATGAAAATGAAATTCTGCATAAGGCTACGCAAATATATGCAGGGTGTTCCATTTGAAAAAGTGGACTCACGGCTGTTTGAAGTTAACCAAATCCACCATTAAATATCTAACGCCTGCTCTGTAATTAACTTACTTTGTAACTATGGACGGGAGGCTTGAGGATATAGCTATTTCTCCTGTGTGCTACTTTTTTTTAGACGGTAAATTTTGGAAGTAGGAAAGGCTTATGATAGTCTACCTATAATCAAAGGTAGAATTCAAAACCAGCATAAGATACAGGATGTTCCATTTAAAATAACGAAGCTG